TCAATCTTTCCCAGTATCAGGGTCTTTTCCAAAGAGTCCTCTCTTCGCATTAGGTGACCAATTTTTCAGATGTACTCAAATTTAAAGAATCAGCATACCAGCTGGTCAGTGAAGATAAGAAAATGCTAATAGGTAACAAAGGATGGTATTTCTCAAATCCTATTTTGGTTCAGTCTTCGAGGACAGAGTATATGTAAAGAGCAGATGAATGAGCAGGATTGAAACTCAAGACTGATAAAAAGATGATCAGGGAATATCTATTTACTTTGAATGAGTTTAAATCTCCAGGACCAGATGAAATGCCTTTTGGAATACTGAAAGAACTTACTGATGTACTGGCCAAATCTTTATGTATTATCTCCACCTCTTGCTGAAGTGCCAGACAACACTTCCTGCAAAGAAAAGTATACAGAGATTAATCTGTAAGCAGCTCAAAAACAACATAGAGAATTCAGTATGGATTCATTAAGAACATGTCTTGCCAGTCTAATTTTACTCATTTTTTTATTGTGGTACCTTCCTTAGTGGAGTTTAAGAATTCTGTGGGCATTACATACTTCAGCAAAGAGTTGTACCCCATGACATGCTGATTAGCAAACTAGATAAATGCGAGCTGGATGGGATTACTACTAAGTGGATAAATATTGTCTTGAAAATTATATGCAGTTAGTTTAACAAGTTGGAGTGAGATATCTAGTGGGGATGCCATAAGGTTTATTCCTGTGCCCTATACTTTTTTTTTTATGAATGAATGGGGAGGTGAAGGGAATGCTTCTCAGATTTGGAGATGATACAAAAATGAGTGGGATTGTTTATAACCTAGGAAACAAAAATAGAATTCTAAATACCCTTGACAGGTAAGACCAGTGTTTTTCAAACTTGACAACTTTAAGATGTGTGGACTGCAACTCCCAGAATTCTCTACCACACATCTTAAAATTGCCAAGTTTGAGAAACACTGGATTAGACAAATGGGCTACAAATTAGGAGTCTAGTAGCACCTTTTTGCATTAATCGGTTTTATTAAAAGCTATATGCTTTTGTGAGCCATGGCTCACTTAATTAAATTAATTAAAATTTGTTAATCTGAAAGAGTGCTACAAGACTCCTGCTGATTTTTGTCTCCCAAAGAGTAACATGACACTCTTACAATGTTTACAAATGAGCTACAAATCGCAGAATAAATTTAACAAAGAGAAATGCAAAACTATCCTCTTAAGAAAAATTAGATGTAGAGTGGAATGGGAGATACCTGACTTGGCAATAATATTGTGAAAAACTTTTTGCAAATGCTTTGGTACAAACTGAATGGGTCAGCGATACAGTGTGACAGCAAAAAAAGAAAAGGCAGCTTTAGGTTGCTTTAATAGAAATGTGTTTTCTAAATCATGAGATAGCTCTATTTTATTCTGCATTGGTCAGACCCCACTTCCAATACTACATTCAGTTTTGTGCACCATATTTTAAAAAGGATTCAGAAGATCCAGAGAAAAGCATTGAGGATGATCAAGGGATTTGGAACTAAATCTTGTGAAGAAGGGTTGAAAAATCTAGGAATGTTTGTTTATTCATTCTATTTATATGGCCATCCATCTCAAACAAGTGATTCCAGATGGCTAATATGTTTTAAAAAACAGCCAAAAAACCTAACAAAAACACAAAATAAATAGGCAGTCAGCAGCTGAGGTAATTTTGTTAAAAGAACCATCAGTACAGAAACAATTCAATATTTCCACGAAACTAACAGGTTCCAGCAGACACTCCGACCCCTCCAAGTGTTTAGCCTGGAGAACAGCGAAGACTGAGAGAGGATATGATAGCACTCTTAAAGTATCTGAAAGAATCGTACAGAGAAGAAGGCCAAGACCTACTTTCTATCAGCACAGAGGCTGGGACACATAATAATGGATTTAAGTTACAGGAAGGCAGTTTTCAACTGAAAATAAGGAACAATTTGTTAACACTATTAGCTGCTTGGCAGTGGAGCCAATTATTCTGAGAGATAGTGGGCTTACCTTTACTGAATGTTCAACAGATTTTTATACTGAATAGCCAGTTGGGCTCATTGATCTAAATGGTCCCTTCCACCTTTATAATTCTCTGTTCTTGATTCCAGAGTTAGAGCCAGTTCTCAGCACTAAAGATTGCATCCTTTATCTCATTTCAGGAAGACAGATTGTTTAAGCATAATCAGTGGCAAATGTCTAGATCCCTGCTGTTCCAGAAGAGACTACCAGACTCTCACCTAACTTATTATACTGCAGTGCTAGTGAGTTAATATTCAGTAATCTGATGTTATTAGGCTGGATTTAGCTACTTTTCATCTGCTGCAATGGTTATAGAATAGATTAATGCAAGTTATAGTTTGTTTGGGGATGTATAATTTATAGTATGCTTGGTATAATCTACACTGATTTATGGGATTCTACAGGATTACAGATTTCCATCCTATGAAAAAGATTTTTCCTACAGGAATGTTCCATATAAATGGCCGATTCATGTAGGTCATTAATGCTCTATTATGCAAGTTCTTCTCTATGGGTATGAATGGAGATAGGGCTCTGGACAACAACCTTAGAATTACTCATGTCCCAGCTTAATGTTCCACTAGTAAAGCATGTAATGGTGGTGGTTATCATCAGTACTTCATGTATAAATAAGGCCTCTGAGCCCATAGGTTTAAATGCCAAGTTTTTTTTATGGGTAGAATAGTCTGAGAGGTGCAGATCACGACAGGAGTAAATTTATATTCAGCTATAATAGAACTGGAGTTTTTAAAATTAAAATGTAATA